TATACAAGCACACACAGTGGTGAAGTATATGAAAATATACAAGTATATACGAAAGTACACTATTACGAAATTCAAAACAGAAAACACAGACGTAAAGTATATAAGTAAATGGATACCAACGAGCATTTGTTTATACGGCGGAAATCAATGGAAGATAAATGGATAAATAAATGATAAAAAAGCCGTCGGTGCTATTGTGTCAACCTTCGATGATATTTTGTTGTTCTTATAATAGCACGTTACTGAAACTTCGAGTCTTAATGATTTTGCTATTTTTTTATTTTTTATTAACTGACATGATATTACATTCATTTAAGTTAATTAAAACTATCGAAAACAACTAAATTGAAATTCTTGTCATTTTGTCCTTTTCAATTTCATTCATATTATCTAAAATTTTTTACTTATCATAAGTCTACTGATATCATATTCAAAATATCAATGCAGGAACTAACAATATTAGTGATTATAAAAAATTAAACTCAATTATATTAAATAAACAGTTTCTTTTAATTACAAAAGGTATTCCATAAAATTTGCATAATAGTTTTAGTCAAGTTTAATTAAAATCTGTTAAAATCGATTAAAGACTTAATTATGCTATTGGAAACCATGAATCAACTTGAAAATATTTTTTTCAAATTTAAATTTAATGCCATTTGAAACTTATTTACTAATATTGAGTACTTAGGCAGGAAATTAGTGAACAACTTGTTAGAAGTTTATTCGCAAATATTCTCTTTAATATTCCTACATTTTCAAACATTAATACTCTTATATCTCGTATTATTAATAATTATTAATGATTAAGAAAACATTACGAGTGCCATTATATATGTATATATACGTATACATACAAAATACATTTACATATATATATATATGTAATATATATAATATATATATATATATATATGTGTGTGTGTGTGTGTGTGTGTGTGTGTGTGTGTGTGTGTGTATATATATATATATATATATATATACGTATAAATGTATGTTTGACTCGGATTTACACGAGTACAGCATACACACAACATACACGCATAAACATGAAAAACATGTCAAAGATATGTAACACAGTAACGAAAATGTATCTTGTATGTACTATGACTGCATTTTTTTTTTAATTTATTCATTGTAAAAATGAGATACGTCTGTACAAGTGTAAAAGATGTTTTATAACTTATGCCTACATACATTAGACATCGTTCGCTAACCAGACGGTGAATAATTTTATTTAAAAAATGTGTAAAATGACATTATTATGAAAGTTCCGTACGTTTGCATAGATCAAATTCTGGTGGACATAACGAGAAATATAGCAATTTATAAAATTAATAAACAATACATAACACTATGAAAATGTAGAGGAACATCATAACAATGCTTTATAAATTAATGCTTAATACATATATATCTCAATGAGTAGTAAACAATACAAGAAAGATTGCACAAAGTGGTAAAATCTAAGTATATAAATTTGTTGTATTTAAAAACGAAAAGCTTTAAACATAAATATGTACTCTACGAGAATTATCGTAAATCAATTACTTCGAGGCTTAAACATTTATTATTAACTTAGGGTGTTACATACCTTCAAACATATTCTCTCTCTCTCTCTCTCTCTCTATATATATATATATATATATATGTATGTAAACCCGGACACTCTCGTAATGTCTCTTAATATTTTATTCAAAATCTTGACATAATCAATAATTGATATTCAATTATTTATTCTTTAATACTTCAGGAAAAATTCATCTTTACCGTTGCACCCTGCATATCACAGGAAACTGTCCAAAATTCACGTTACAGTAACTGTAACAATTCGAATCTTAATTTCATCATTTACGATTTCTCTTTTATTTCTTCCTTTTTTATTGACACTCCTCAAAATCGATGGAAAGTTGATCTTCCTCGGAAGATCAATTATTGGCATTTCTCCTTTGCAACGCGGCCGCGAGATCCTGTCGGAGGGCAGCTTGTTGTCGTTGATCAGCTAAAGATTGAACAGACCTTAAACCATTTACAATATCTTTCGTTTTTCCAAAATAAATTTCATTTAAGGTATTTCGAATTTTATTTTCCATATCTTCAACCATGCGACCAATATTAGCAATATGTGGAGAACTCTCACTTATTTGGGCATCTTGTTCAACCTAAAAAAAATGTGTTAGGAAATAACTTCACATAATTGTGATATACCCGTTGAATGTCGTACAGAAAATAATTAATACATATAAAGATCTCTTCTTTTTTTTTTTAATTATAATTAGAAATTAATTAGAAACAAACCTGTCTTGTAAGACTTCCACCAAGATTCATTGTTCCAGAGCCATGTTTATTAGTTTGTAACCAAAGCATTGCAGTGGAAGTTAATTTATAATGTGCAATCCTTCCACTAGATTTTTCTTGAACTTCCACTACATGAATTGAATCCCAACAACCTTTAATTTTCTTTGAACCATCACCTGCTTTTTTAATCAATATTACTGCTGCAAAACCATGATCCAAGTCCCACAGATAGACAGAAGAAACTCCACCTTCAAAGTAAAGTTCTCTGTATTGATCAAATGCATGATTTGCATCTATCTCTAATTTTCTAAGCCTTTCAGATGGCATTGAACCATCTTCTAGTGGAGGATCATACGTATTACTCCAAGGGGACCTGCAACATAATTTTATAACGTAAAATATTATTTCTTTATTCTTAATGTAATATTAGTAAAACTAAATACAATAACAGTATTAATAACAGAATAGAACAAAGCACATTTTCGCAATTACCTATAGGAATCTCCATCTCTATTATAGTCACAAAGTAAATAATCTTTTCCAGATTCTTTATCTTTTGCAATTTTTAAGGGCTGATCAACAGAGGATAAGAGATCTTCACAAAGAGATGGCACTAGATCTATTAAATCACTCAAATTCTTTTCAATTTGCTGAGGTGGCAGTCTTCTCATCAAATCCAAAGCACAATCCATTTGCTGTTCCGTCTTTAACATTAAAATTAAGTTTGATTTAATTTTAAATATTCTATAACCCAGTGAATTTGTAAGTCTAATCATATCTTTAATAAATGGAATTTTATACATTTATAATGAAACTGTTAAGTCTAATATGACTATACTATATTTCTAATTTAATGTCATCTTGAATAAATCTAATTTATACAAATTTCATCTTAGAATTTAATATAATTAAATCATAGTAGTAAGTGTGATAGTAATAAATGTAATTTAGTATAATTAATATAATTCAAATTTAGCACAAGCAGGCGGCAAGCCATATGAAATTCAATATAAATAAGCGATAGGATACATATTAACTTTCGCTAATTTCAATAAAAGACAGAAAAGAAATGCTAGGAGACATCAATATTAATTTATTAGTACGAGTTACATCAAGAAGACATTTATATGGGTTAACCAAAAATTATCTACATTACAAAAAATATATAAATGAATTTATATTTTTAATTTTTTTAAAATGACCGAAGAACCAAAATTTTCATGTATGTCACTGGGTGGCGCCATTTTGACGTTTGTTTCATTTTAGGTTAGGTAAAAATTTTGCTTAGAATATCACAATCACAAAAATACACAAACATCTTTTACAACAAACCTTTTCAAAAATTTTATCGTAAATGGGAGATTTTATAAAGTTAGACTTTCCTATATCGAACACTATCTCTAAAAAGTGTTATTACTGATTTTAGTTGACATTATTAATAAAATAATATAATGTTACAATTATAGATTAAAAATATTAAACTTACCATTTTAAATGATTGAAGAATTTGGCGAAAGTCACTCAGACCATCAATCAATAAAAACTACAAAATCAATGAAAAATTTATTGAAATTGTTTACTCTCTGACCTGCATTCAGTCACCGAAAACGAATATTCAAGGGGCGTGTCAAGACTACCGCTGATTGGCCAATAGACAATTCAATGCTATCAACATAATGTGAGTGAAAATTATAGAGCATATGTTATATAACAATAGGACAAGTAATAAAATGTTTACAATACATTACTAGTGAAATTATTGCTCATTCCTAAATAATCGCTCGATTAAATTTCAAGTAACAATGCCATACATCTACCACTTTCAAGAATGCAAATTGAAGAATTAGATAAAATTAATTCTAGATAGAATTCTCTAGACGAAATTAACTAAAATTTACTATATGTAATTTATTTAGTCATTAGAAATGATTAGTGTCGTATATATCGCTTACTTATTCAATTTCAATAAATATTCACTGCATTCTAGCCACGCTTTTCACACATTCTGCAAAGTAACAATTTTAAATGAAAAAAATTGTTACTAATTGTCTTTTAATTCAAAAGATTAAAGTTATATTTCGCTGAAATATATTTTTAGTTTTTATAATAGAAAATATTTCCAATAACTGCACTAACTATAGAAGTTAGTGTAAATGTTCTGTTACGATGTAAGGCAAATTTTGTATTACAGGATTAACTGGCTTGAACTACTGTTTGTCTAATATATATAAATTTAATGAATCGAAAATTCTATTTTTAATAAGATCCCTGATCTTTCTTCTTCAATCTTTTCTCTTAGATTTTTGCAGTGAATGATCATAATTCCGAGATCAAGTTGATTTTAAATTTCGCTCTTAATTTATACACAGATGGCGTTGAGTATAAATTGAAGTTCATATTTATTGCGGCCGTTCATACGTTAGTAGAGAATATGTAATCTAATATTTTAACATATAGAAATGCTAATAAATGTCTGATAAATACTCTAACAGAATTCCGATTTTAATTCCAATAATAATGGGTATTATCAGATAGTATACGTAAACGAGGATTAGGCGAGCTTTGATATTTCACAGATCCTTCGAATGAAAGCCCCGTGCACAATTGTATATGCGAGGCTATAAGAATCATCTATATCTGTTATAATTCAATTTAAAATGATATCATTAATATATGTATTGGATTTGAGTTAGTTTTTTTAATCCAGCCGCAGCGAGGTAGCCGGCAACAGGCAAATATTTTAGCTCTCTATTGACTTTCCGTTCATAATTGGCGACATTCATCAAATTTACGTTTAACATAACTGTGCAGTGGCATAGAAACCTAGAAAATAACCTGGAAAATAATCTTCCAAGATACGTGATCATCCATCGTTCGCATGTCTTACTTTCACAGAACATTGACCGGAAATATCGACAATTCTAGGTTATAAATGTACGCCTATGTTATTAACGTTAGGTCACAATCGGTTCCATGGATTGTATTTACTACATATTACATCAGAAGCAATACTTTGAGTATTTCTTATGTGCTTTATATTAATTATATTAATAGACAATTTTGGAATAAAATCTAGAAAACGGAACTATCTTTCGAACATTTTCCCAGTTTTTATTAGAAATAAATAACAAATATAATAAATTTATGATCCGGGAAGGCTATAAATGTTAGATTTTCCAATATGATATGTCTAATATATTCAATGGCTATACATGTCATGATCTAACTCAAATCTAATTCTCATCTTTTATTTGTAATATTTCGGTTATTTCGGAATTCCATAAGATATATGTTAGGTCAGTGATGTCTACTATAGGGATCCCTCTTCACGTTTCTCTGCTTGCCCTTTCACTCATTGTTTATCGCAATTCGTTCGTTATCAAAGAAACCGCACGACGCAACGCTAAGAACTCTACCATACAAGCTTATATTTTCGTAATCAGAAAAGTCTCGCAGTCTAACAAATAAAAAACGCAATAATTTTGGACTTTGGTGCTAGGTTATTACTGTATCCAAGCGCTGCAGGGCCGCCGTCAAACAATACGAATGCATACGTCATTACGGACGCACAATTATAGGTAGTATTCATACTACGTGGAGGCGGCTTGGCATCTAGTAAAGCATTGGTTTATTGGAGGAAAGTCATGCTACCATGATGAAGAATTTGGCGATATGAATATTTGTGGCGATAATTCTGTCAACAGAATAAATTGGACAAAATGTTATCTTTAATTGATGCAATAAAAAAGAATTACATTTTATATAAATTGAATTGAAATATTGAATTATAAAAATAATTGAAATATAAAATTGCGTCAGTCTGCAAGAAGCTACCTTCTCTCCGATTTCGATGATTTTTTTCTATATGTATAATCGACGGTCGATCTTGGTTTCCAAGGTATTCGAAAGAAGCTGTCGGTACCACTACAGTGAATTCTACCAATAATTATGCATTCGTAGCAGCGTTGGCGATTGTTGAAAAAGCAATGATTATTGCGTTGTTCACCACGACTCGAGTCAATTGTGGCCAGTTATTTGCATTTATATTCGTTACGCTACTGTGTAAACTTCACTTTCTGGTCACGGCCATCTCACAAATATGAGATGCCTAAATCTTTTGCCTTATATGCTCCGTGAATATACAGCAGAGCAACAAATGCATTTAATTATAGTTAAATAAAAAAAAAAAAAAAAAAATTAGGCCCCAACTAAATGCTTCTGCTTCTGTGCACGTTCTGTGCACGTATATTTTTCATTATATGGTAGTCTATGACCAGAGAAAATGCAATCTTTACTTTTCCTTTCTTAACATTTCGTTTAGCATATCCTGTCGGACCTGATAATTCCCTACAGATATTATGTGAATTGGTGCTCTTCCGGGTTTGGAACCACCTGCTATCTCTTATGAAACTGTCCCATCAGCAGCAGTTTCGATGCGTTGGTCCTCTACATCACGCTCACTTTCTTATCTCAGTGTTAATCCCCTTCCCTTTTGTCTTTTACATTTATTCAAGATATTCTTCTCTTCATTATCCGTGTCTGGAGACTAATTCGTTGGATATGCCAAATAGGTCATCATCTTTTTCCATTTTATTTTCAATTTCAGAAAGATTCTGTTCATCAATATCCAAATACTTCTCGTCCATGTTATCTACCTTTTTCTGATAACTTCATATAATAGTTTTTCAATGCGTGGACACTTTTAGGATAAATATTCGCCGCAGAATAATTCATTAAATATGAAATAGAAAATTTACATCAAAATATTGCGGATTTATTTCTTCTTTCTTCAAATTTGCACTTGTAACTTATAACGCAAAGAAAATGCTTTAGAACTTTTATATTATGATGCCTTTTATATTATCTCTCTCTCTCTCTCTCTCTCCCTCTCCCTCCCTCCCTCCCTCCCTCCCTCCCTCC